GGAATTCCTGAAACGACGTAGTTGTTTTCAATAGTCCATTTTTCGGTATTTAAATGAAATATCATAACAGAACCTTTTTCGCGTTTTCATATCAGATTATATTAATAACTACACATTGGAATTATCGTTGTGAAATTACATTAAATTTCAGATTTGCATTTTTAAGTAACGTGTTTATGTATTGTGTTTGTATTTTCTTTTATTAAAAATTTTTTTTTTATAAATAAATTTATCTTTTTGAGCCATTTTTTTTCATTTTTTATTGACAGAAGTCAAAACGTAATCTCAGTCATAAATGATTGCGTATTTTTATTTTTATTAAGTTTTTTAAAACATACTATCTTGTCTTTCTATTTGTGTCATTAATATGAAATTCTTTTTCAAGCACGTAATTCTCAAGAGAAAGGTATCACAAAAAAATATAAGTTCTTGTTAAGTATTTTTATTGAGTTGCCATCATCACGATATTCACTCGCTAGTTTTTGTTGCATTTACTTCTTCTATTTTAGTTAATTTGAGTGATTGGTAAGTAAAGACGAGATTAACATGAATAAAAGCAGAAGAAAAAAAAGCCTTTTCAATTTATTGGACCATAACTGTCTAATTCCATGTCGAAATTCCAATGCTCTTTAATAATAAATTTCACTTTTTCATTATGTCGGCCCTTCATCTTTTGTGGCAAAACTTGACGACAGTTTTATGATTATATTGTTACGTCTTACTTTCATTTTTCATTTTTCCTGTATTTTTTCATGAATAAATTCGTCAGCCTTTCGAAGCAAATAACATTATGAATTCAAACATACACAGAGAAGCAGTTTGAACAGAACTTTACTTTTTTTTTTTTAAAAAAAATAAAATAAATATCCATGTATATAACGTTTTAAATATGGAAATTTTCATAAATGTTGACTATTTTTGTCTCGAAATAAATTTGTGTAACCTTATTATTAGCGAAATTTTATTGTCGCACAATAATTATAATTGAATTATTTATTGTACTGTATGAAGGGAAAAAGACGTTTAACTTTCAGGGACATGGAAGGTATCGGAATCAGAGAAGAATCACAGAAAGAATGAGATCACTCTCATAGAGAGTAAACAAATACTTTAATTTATAAGTTCTATGATTTTTACGAAGGAAGATGCATAATCAATTCCTCATTCAGAGTCATTAGACCTTCATCCTTCAAGGTTTCTACTTTCTCAAAGGTGTACCCAACGAAGAGCTTTCAATTAACAGATTATTTTTAGGATGGATACACAACGACTTCCACGGCAAATGAAATTTTTAATATTTGATAAAGCATTTCAACCTCCCTATGCCTTATGTCTGTTTATCAAAGATAATTTTTCGTCAAACGTACAAAACTTTTTTTTTGAATTCGACTATGATTGACAAAATGTTGTGTCACGCTTCCATTTTTGTAAAATAAGGAAATGGTCTGTCGTGCAACAAACAAAAAAATTCTGGGCGTGTATATAAAAATTCTTTGAAGACTCTCCTACGACCTTACGTTAAATCAACATCGTTATCTCGGAATATGCTTAATACTCATGATCAAAATGATTACGAAAAATTTCCTTTTGAAGATATTGAAAATTATATTCAGAAAGAAATTACGGATATTATATTTTCACCAAATATGAAATATATGGTTACAAGTAGTGAAGATGATGAATCCTTAGTTATGTGGACCATTGACATAGAAAATAATATTATCAAAAAAGAAACACAATGCAAGTGTAAAATGGTTGTAAATTATCAAGCCATCTCATTACTAGGTTTATTAAATAATAAATTATTGATTTTGGGTTACGAGAATAATTATTACGGTTACTCGAATTTAACGATCCGAGATATGGGGACTCTGGAAGACATTGCGATAAACCATTATTTGACCAATGGTCATTTCTTGCAACTACTTCCGAATGGAGATCTTTTGTCGTTTCAAGCACAATATATACATGTGGTTCCGGAAACGTCCTTAAAAAATTCAAATAATTTAAAGAGTTCATCAAAATATTACCTTTGGGGTATAGGCATGATCGATATTCGACAAATCAACTGTATAAGACAAATAAATGGGCAAATCTTTTTTACGCTCAAAGGTTCTGTTATGATATTTCATTTAAATACCGAAAAATGGACTATTGAAAACAACTACGTCGTTTCAGGAATTCC